GCCACGAAGAGGGTCACAACAAATGGCGTCTCATCCTCTGGATCATTTAAATGATTCCAGAGCATGGGAAGTCATTCTCGTACTTTGTCACTATGCTCTTTTAGTATTTGTAGTTGTATTTTTTTTCTTTTCCATCATTGTTTATCATAGTTTTGGGCAAATCGCGATTTTTGTCGTTAGTGTTGCGAGAGATCAATTACGGATTGAATTAGAGTTGCGTAATAATTTCGCGCCTGTTTATGAACGTTGTGAGAAATTGATATGGTTTACATTAGAGTTGCGAAGAAATGATAATCGTGTTTACTTTAGAGTTGCGAATTACGACACCGCGATTATCTTTAGCAATTTTGAGTGTGAATTTCTGAAATTGTTTTAGAGTTTTACATAGTAAAATTTATCTTGCTTTCTATTATTTTAAATTAGATTATAGAGTCGTTGCTATTAATTAATTTTAGAGTGTTAGAATATTTGAAGTAGCTCTTTGTTTATCTGTATTGTTAATAATAATTTTCATTGAATTTAGTTTTAGAGTTAGTGTTGCGACATTATCGCGATTTCCAGTTACTTTTACTCTTATTGTTGCGATATTGTTCTATCGCGATTTCTAATTACTTTTCTTTTTGTTAGTGTTGCGATAATGAATGATCGTGTTTTTTAAAGTAGCGTTGCGTTTACAAAATGCCCAAATTCTTTCACTGAATTCGTGGAAGACTGTTCCTGCTCCTGGATCACCTGATACAGCTACAAGAGCTGTACAGTGGTCATTCATCAACAACCGCCAGCATGATTGTACAGGACGCGTCGCAATTAGTGTTGCGTATTTTAAACATGAGTGTATAGATTAATAACGTTGCGTATTTATTTTCGGGAGTTTTGACGAAGCACTCTTCGCGTTTGATTTTGAAAATTTCTTATTTCACACTTAGTGCTAGTGAATTAGTATTGCGAAATAAAGTACGGTTTGTTACTCGGGTTCGTAATGTAAATTGTACAGTAGCCCTTCTGGTTATTGTATTGTTTAGTAAGAAATGATTGTTTTTTAATAGCTCTTTTGACTAGCTTGTATTGTGTTTTTTTTTCCAATGGCCCTTCTGGCTAATGTTCCGCGATTACCTTTTCAGTAGTCTAGCCCTTCTGGCTTTCGTTTGCTTTCGTTTTTTTCTAAATTCGGGAATGTTTTAGTGGTGTGGAATTTCTGTGTTGAGTTTTTTAAACTAATAATCCAATAAATAAGTTTGTTACAGATTTATCAACTTCCAAATGGATGGATGAAAGATGGAACAACATGGATTACGGAATTTAAAGGGAATGATGCTAGAATCCTATCTAATGTTAATTAAATATATCTTGTTAAATTTATTTCACAAATCTTATTTGACATCAACGAAAGAAGATGATGCGTAGAATGCACTAAATAGAAAAAGTAGAAAATTCTATGAAATAACCAAAACAGAATGCTTGTTAAGATTTAATGACAATTCTTTATTAGCCCTTCTGGTTGATGTGATAAGTTTTCTTCAATCCCTTATCACTGCTTATCACTGTTTATTACTACTGAAAATACTGCTAAAAAATATAGATTTTTTTTTTATTAGCTATAATTCTGTTAAATTTGATTATAAATTTAATTTACATGAAAGTAAAT